ATACATTCCAAAATCAGCCCCTTTCAGGGACCTAATAAGAAATTATTGTTTATCATAATGGAATTAGGTTTAAATATATTCCTTTTATTTCTCTATCAGCATGTGTCTATATGGTGATTAGTCTGATTATCTCAAGATGCTTTTATTTCCCTTTATTGTTTCATTATTTTTGTAAATAAGTGCCATGATGACTTATTTTCATCACAGGACTCTGTTATCTCTTATAAATTTGTAAAAGGGGGTTCATTTTGATTCCAAGTCCCAAGGGGATGGAGGGTTTTGTTTTTGTGTTTGTGTTTTTAGATACAGAACTCTTATTAGACAGTTAATCTCTTAAGTTTTGAACTATATTATGCCTCCTTTTTTGCCCTTGCCCCAAACAGTCCTCAAGGATGGTCAGAGACTGGTGAAACCCAATCCCAAGGGGGCATTCTATAGTAGAAAACACTAATCCTTTCCTGCCTGCAACATCAAATCGATTCTCACTCTATGGCTGCTACTTAGATGCCCATGGAGAACACCTGGTAAGTGTTTGGGTCTGAGATTCTCCATTGCATGTGGGAAAATGGATGGATTGTTTTAAAGAGAACACATATCTCATGTGATCCAATATGATGCCAGGAATATAAAAAAGCAACAGAGTCTTAAAATGGCTGAATGTTTGGAAAGATTATGTCTCATGGTATCTCATGTTTCCAGAATATTTCTGGAACAGTTAATGAAATGCTGGATGATAAATTTTAAACTGAGATTGCCTTGTAGCAGGAAGTCTAGAGAGTGATTATCTGAGCTGATCAATATGTATAATTGGAAAGCTTATTTGCTAAAAGGCAAGAAATTATATATGCTTATGCTGGGGAAGATTTAGGGGAAATGCTCATTGTGTCATCAAATATCTGAAGTTGTTTACTGAGAAGGAAAGGTTAAGTTTCTATGGATTATTAGCTGGGAAATCAATACATTCGATCTTTGTTTCTAAATACTAGAAATGGGTTGTGTCATTTAATTTTCACAGTCACTCTGTACTGTATCCCTTTCCATTAGCCTTATTTTACCAATGGGGAAATTGATATACCAACGTATTTAGAAGTTGTATGACTGGCTCAAGAGCATGCAAAACCAAGCAATGGCAGAGCCAGGATTTGAACTCTCTCAACTGGCTTCAGATTCTGTACACTTAACTGCCATGATCCATGACCAATGTCTACTATTGGAATGGAGATTTAGGACCTTCCTAATAAATTAGGAAAGGGCCAGTTTGGGGCTCAGTATAAAGAAATCTTACTTGACCTTTGGAGCTATTCTGCAAGGTGGCAGACTACTCTGCAGGGGTGTGGGGTGGGAGAGAGTTTTGTATTACTGGATGACGTAGAGATCCAATGGTGAACTTTGGATTGGATCGGATATAGTATAGAGGGAAGAGATGCCTGATATTTCAGGGAGTGTGGATTAACCTAGTAGAGAGTGTGGATTCAGATCTCTAAATCCTTTAAAACTTTTAGATCCTGGGTATTAGCCTGTGTGAGGACTGCAGTTGTTGGTATCACTAACGATTCAGGGTTTATTCAAACATAGTAGACCCACATTTCCAGATTGTTTACCTGGCTCAGTGGTTTCAAGGGCTTAACAAAGCTTTCTCTCTCTTCTAAAGGCCTGCATATTTTTGCATACCAATTTGTTCCCCAGGCTGCCTTTTGTCATCCAGTGCAGTAATTCTTAATCCTAGAACACCTTAGTACCTTCCTTCAATTTACCCTACATCACATCAATGAATCCCACAGATTTTGCTTCCTTGTTGTCCGTTCAATATTGCCACATCACTTTATAATATCCCATTTGGACTACCGCAAATAGCTTTTTAACAAGATTTTTCTACCCTCTAGCTTTCATGTCTTTCAATCATTACCAAGCTGCTAGCACAAGGAATTTTTAAAAGTAAAAGTTCTGCCCTTCCAACCATAAACTTTACATTATTTAGCTTAAAATAGTAACTTTACACTTACTTTTCTTCCCTTTTCATTAGTTCAAATATCATTTCTGTTAATGAACTCATTTATATGTCAAAATATGTACTGATCCCTAATTCCAGCATATTTTCCATACACCTGTGATTTTATAGACACTATGATTTCTTTGTGCAATTCTCTTTTCCATCTCCTTTATCTGGCTAATATTACTGAAGAATTATTCTGCTGGATAGCCAGTCTTATTCTGCCCAATTAGATTAATGGTACTTAAGCTCATCAATCCTTATTCAATTAAGGGCTTATTTTCCCCTACAATGTGAAATCTTAAAACAGTGGTTATCAACCAGGGATGACAAGTCCCTCCTCACACATCTAGGGGACATTTGGCAATGCCTATAGTCATTTTTTATTGTTGCTACAGGGAAGTGCTACTGGCATGTAATAGATAAGAGCCAAGGATTCTGCTAAACCTTTTACAATACAGATGATATCTCCTATAACAAAAGATTAATCTGGCCTAAAACTCAGCTGTGCTGAGATTGAGAAAACCTGCCCTAGAAAAATATCAGTTAGGCCCCATGGGAGTTGGAAATAGAAAACTATCAGGAAGAACAGTAACTGCTTTCTCAAAATGGCCTATGGTCTTTTAGAATGAAGGAGTCCTTTTCTTTATATACTTGGCATTTTGTTTACTTGTTTAATTCTTCTCTTTTTGCTCTCATTCCTCTGACTACTCATAATATATGCTTTGTCAGAGTTTCAGCTTATATGTTACCTTTCAAAGAATTTCCAGGTCAACTATTACTCATGTGACCATGTTAAATTTCCCAAATTGAGATTCCTGATAAAAATAATGGGATACTTTTTCAGCCAAATCACAGAGATTTGGACCAGTGATAAGGGTAATATGCAGTTGAAAATGTAGACATACATCAGATAGGTATCATATAAAAAACATTATCCATACTCTAAGTACACTATCTATCTGGTAAATTAAGGTAATATGGGAATAATTTTTACCAGGATATAAAGATGCACACTCTGATTAAAATCTTTAGTGTATAGTTATACTAAATATATATTGATTTATTTGCATTATGATATATAATTCCTATTCTTATTTACTGAATTGTACTTATAAAATCTCAGAAGGTGCAAATTTTTTATTTGGTTCTTTTTGGGTCAAGATAGCATGGATTTTAGATCCTAGTAGATTTACCTATAACAACAAGTCTTAGTTTTTCATTAGTATAATTGGGTCATAATGCTGTTATATTAATTGATACTTCATAAATACAAAATAAATAAATTTATCTTTCTTCTTCAATTGCTTCAAACAGTACTTGGAACATAGTAGATGCTTAATAAATCTTTGTTGAATGAAATCATTAATAAATAAACATTTAATTTGTTTGTAGTAATGCAACCCTCCAATATGAGGAAAATAATCTAATTTAGCATGCTGTGTATTTTCAAAAGGAAGAGTTTCCGAACAAGAGTTTTCAGAATGGAAAGTCTTCCTCAGACTTGCATAAGTTTTAAGAAAAGGAAGCAATAAATGCTCTTGCAATTGACCTGAGATTGGTCATAGGTGTCCTTTTCTGTCCCAGAGACAATCTAAATGTATCAGTGGAAAATAAAACAAACAAACAATTAAAGACTAATGGGCAGGCATGATGGTGAGATTTTTCCTGCCACAAATCTGTGGATTTAGACCCCTTACTGTCTTTATCTCTGTATCTACTTCATACTGTTTAAAAAGTTTCAGAAAATGAATTTTGCAATCACCAAAAGAAAATAAAAGTAATTTTTCAATTAATCAATATTTTATATATTCTATGGTGGAAATATTTTTCTGGAGCAGAGATGAGCTCAGATTGCAAGCAATTAGCAGCCAATGAGAGCCCCTTGAGCTTGAGATGCTGAAAACACACAGCCACTTTACACTGAAACATGTCCCTTATAACTGAGATAGGAGGCTCTGGAAGCCCGTGGTGTCATTTGTTGGAGTGACTGGTGAAGGGTAGAGAAAGAGACTAGGGTGAAAATCATCCTATGCAAAACAATGTGAAAAGGAACGTCTTTACCTCTACAGAAACCATTACACTTTGAGTAGATAGAAGATATATAGCACTGTACTTAAAGAAAAGAAGTACATTTCATAGAGACTTACATGTAATTTCGAACAGTTAAAAAAAATGAAAAAATGACTGTTCAGTCTTAGGGAGATAACAATGGCTATTTCTGGGGAAACAAAAAATAGAGGTCATAGGTTGGTACTTGATGTTAAGTACAAGGGATATGCAAACAGCAGGACACAGAAGCCCTAATAGGAACTTCAGAGGAAAAGACCCATGAATTTAATAATTTGCATTTATTTTCTCAGACAATAAAAAGAACAAAGTGCAAAATATGTGCCTGGGTTTGGGAAAGACACTGAAAGTTTTAGAAAATTAAGTTGTAAGAATATTGACAGGGTCTATGCCAGAAGGATAAGACTATGAAGAAACTAACCTGAGAAAACCAACTAGTGAGCTGCAAAGCTGCAACATATTCCAGTCAGATTATCTCCTGATTATGATCTGGCAGAATGTTCTACTATGAATCCTCTATAGTAATGTAGGGGGAGTCTAGTTTTTGAAAATCTTTACTCTGCATCAAATTACCTTTTCCCAATTCCACTTGTCAGGTCACAAGAAAAGCACAAATGATGAATAACAAAGATAAGATTAAGGGAATCTGTTGGGTCCAGTAGTCATGAATCAGAAAAAAAGCCATCTACCCTACTTAATGTTGCTCACTGAAAATTTTCAAGGCATGGAGGATCATGGAACTTGCTGGTGGTTCTATCAATGACTTTGGAAAAGGAGATAAACAATTAGAGAGGAGTAGTGTTCTAGAACAGAAAAAGTAAAGTGGTATACTCCTAACCAAAATAAAGAAATGTCTTGTTATTTTTCATTCATCTAATCTTGACAGGAAATAGAAGATGAAACAGCAATGCCACTACTGGATTCTACTGAACAAATCACCATGCTCACATTCAATGGCTCAGTCTTCATGCCCTCTGTCTTTACACTCATTGGGATTCCTGGCCTGGAGGCTGTGCAGTGTTGGATTGGAATTCCCTTCTGTGCCATGTACCTCACCGCTGTGACTGGAAATTCCTTGATTTTGGTTATAATCAAATCTGAAAACAGCCTCCATATACCCATGTACATTTTATTGGCCATGTTGGCAGCCACAGACATGGCACTTAGCACTTCTATTCTTCCCAAAATGTTAGGCATCTTCTGGTTTCATTTGCAAGAGATTTCTTTTGATGCTTGCTTGCTGCAAATGTGGCTTATTCACTCCCTCCAGGCAATTGAATCTGGGATCCTGCTGGCGATGGCCCTGGATCGCTATGTGGCCATCTGTGACCCCTTGAGACACGCCACCATCTTTTCCCAACAACTCTTAACTTATATTGGAGTTGGGGTAATATTCAGGGCTGCCATCCTTATAGTACCTTGCTTGGTACTTATCAAATGTCGTCTTAAACTCTTCCTATCTACAGTCGTCTTTCACTCTTACTGTGAGCACATGGCCATTGTGAAGCTGGCTGCTGAAGATACCCGAGTCAACAAGATACTTGGCCTATTTGTTGCCTTTGCAATCCTAGGGTTTGACATAATCTTTATCACCTTGTCCTATGTTCTGATTTTTATCACTGTCTTTCAACTGCCCCAGAAGGAGGCACGATTCAAGGCCCTAAATACCTGCATTGCCCACATTTGTGTTTTCCTACAGTTCTACCTCCTTGCCTTCTTTTCTTTCTTCACACACAGGTTTGGTTCTCACATACCACCATATGTGCATATCCTCTTGTCAAACCTTTACCTGTTGGTCCCACCCTTTCTCAACCCTATTGTTTATGGAGTGAAGACCAAACAAATTCGTGACCAGGTAGTGAAAATGTTTTTCTCCAAAAAAGTAACTTGATCATTAGTGACTCTTTCTATAGAGATTCTGGATTGGTTCTAAGTAACAACTCAAATGTATGGAAAGATATCGTCCTGAAATATATAGGTCTAAAATAATCTTTAAATCTCAAATGTTTATAATCAAAAGAGACACTCAACAATCTTCAAATACTCAATGACATTGGTTGGCTACTCATATTTTTAAAACAATTCTCTTATACTGAGATTTTATATGAAATAAGTGTTCTTCCTTTTTGACCTATCCAGTTAAACCTAGAGATTGCTTTCTGTACCGCTTACACCTATATAGAAAACAGAATTTTAGAAAACAGCATTTTATTCCAGGTAACTTCAAAGGATTATATCACACATCAATATTTTCAAACTGCTAAGCCATCCCATACCTGTAGTTCGGGGCATATCCCCCTTTTTTAAAAAATATTTTCTTTTGAATCCATCTTTTCACAAATTAGAAATCATGTATCTTTTATTTATTTTTCTCTGAAATGCTTATCAATATAAAAATAATACAAAATCATTAATATCAATATCTATAACACAAAACTTATGAAATGCAAACAAAACTATAAACATTGAGTAATCTACACAAGGGAGAATGCAAAAAAGTTTGATTAATTAGGCATAATCACAAGTACACGTATTTAGGAAAATAAAAACAGTGATCTGGATTTATGTATCAAATATGCCACTATAACTACACATTTTACTGCTTTCTTTTTCCTAATTTAGGTTTCACTCAAATTTTCAGGTTTAAGTTCTAGAATTGAACATATAGACAACCTCTACTGCTGTTAGATATTACCCACTGCAAGTATCTTGAATACACTGTGCCTTATTTGCCCTTGTATCAGCAATAGAGTGGACAGTGCTTGAGATTGCTTAGATTTTCAAAAAAAATGGCATTAAATAATGAATTTATTAAATATGTTCTTGCTATTAATCAAAATATTCAAAAGCAATACATTTAAAGGTTCTAAGATAATATGCAACCTCTTCATGCAGGAAATCTGCACACTAGAGACTTTAGTCTGATACTATTAGGACACAGGAAAGAAGAGGACACAAAAGAATCATGTGCAATCTTGAAACAATATTTGAGCCAAAGATATAAGTAACATATGAGAAACTGCCTTCAAATGCAGGTACTTCAGATCTCTTTTGACACTTTGTTGTTTCTCTGTCCCTGCATTTTTTTTTTTTTTTTTTTTTTTTTTTTAGACAGAGTCTCGCTTTGTTGCCCAGGCTAGAGTGAGTGCCGTGGCATCAGCCTAGCTCACAGCAACCTCAAACTCCTGGGCTCGAGTGATCCTTCTGCCTCAGCCTCCCGGGTAGCTGGGACTACAGGCATGCGCCACCATGCCCGGCTAATTTTTTATATATATATCAGTTGGCCAATTAATTTCTTTCTATTTATAGTAGAGACGGGGTCTCGCTCTTGCTCAGGCTGGTTTTGAACTCCTGACCTTGAGCAATCCGCCCGCCTCGGCCTCCCAAGAGCTAGGATTACAGGCGTGAGCCATAGCGCCCGGCCTGTCCCTGCATTTTCAACCTCTCTCAGGATGCTGCAGCAATAAAGATCATATTAAAATTTCTTCAACTCAACTTAAAGACTTAGAACCAATGATTTCTTCAAAAAAGAACCAGGTAGACAGGGAGATTCATCTGGATCATTAATTTTGGACAGAAAGGTTTTCAAAGAAAGAAGTAATACAAGAAAATTCTGCTATTAAAAATTATATAATTCAAGAGAAAGACAAAGATACATATATTTCAGAAAAAAACAAAAAAAAAACCTTGTCCACAATACAGAATTTGAGTCACAATGCATTTGATTTTTAATAAAGTTTATGTAAACACGAACTATATTTTTTAAGGAATGAAAAATAAATGACAAAAGATAAAACAACATTTTAGTTGATAAAAAAGCATATAAAAAGATGTTGAATGACATAAGAAAAACTTAATAATAGAAGAACCATTTTAACTGCATTAGAGGAATAAGTATTTCAGTAGTTGTGGCATCAATAGTGCTGGATGAATAATTGATGAGATTTCATCCTCCCAAAAGAAAAAAATGATCAATGTGTGAATTCTTTCAGAGAGGATATCATACATGAGAGATACAGAATGGAAATATTACATATATCATAACCCCAAATAAGAACCTAAAACAAATAGAATATGATGATAACCACAGAATAAGCATGTGTAAATTAAAGATCATATATAAAGGTACCAGGTATAGAAATGTACCAAATTATGTAAATAAAAGGAGACACTTATATTGGAAAAAATCAAATGAAAAGAGAAAAATTCAACCTAGGTCAATCAGAAAAAAGGGAACACATTATACAGCCTTAGGAATACATGGTTTCATTTATTATCTGGAGAATAAGGGAAGGCAAACAGTAAAAACATTAAAAGTACACATTATAAAATGGGAAAAATGTTTTAAATGAAGAATTTATGTTATAATTAGACTATATGTTGGCATTCAAGTTATTTAAGCCTATAATTAAAGAGAAAAATTACAGTGTGTACTAATACAGGGATTATTTTCTGTATCTAAAATAGAAGGTTAGACACAGGTAAATTTGTGAGAGTGGACAGTTCAATAGAAAATACAAGTGAGGTAGTATATTTATTTTACCTATGATTAGGTAATTACAATTTAATCTTTGATGTAGGTGATTGGCAAACAAATAGTAATGCAGCCACTGATGCAGGAATATTTTTCTTTGTTTTTCAAAATATAATGCACATACGGAGAGTGAAAAAACATTTTTTTCTCTTTTCTGTTTTTTTATTTCAGCATATTTTGGGGATACAAACGTTAAGGTTACATATATTGCCCTTGCCTCCCCTGCTTTGAGTCAGAGCTTCAAGTGTGTCCATCCCCCAGACGGTGTGCATCACACTCACTATGTATGTATATACCCATCCCCACCTCCCCCCTCCCACCTGCCCCACACTGGACAAATATTTGTTTTTCTTTTTTTTCTTAATATTTTGGTTACATATTATATCTTTGACTGTCTCTAGCAAGGGTTAGAGGTATGCCCTTCCCCTCCACAATGGTCACCACATTCCTCACCCCTGAATCCCTGGTGAACACCACCACCCTTTGAGCACCATAGTGTTAATCAAGGAAACAACCATGAAACTGCCATCTAAATGAAGAAATCAATCATTGCACACTCCCAACAAGCCCTGTATGTGTTTCTTCATTATCACAATCTCTTCCTTTCCACAAAGGTAATTTCTAGTATAACATCTGATGGAAGTACTTACTGCTTTCTTTGTTCTTTTTTTTTTTTTATGTATATACTTGAGAACCTAAGTCTTATATTTTAGTTTTGTTTTTGGATTTTTTATAAAGGAAATCACACAATATATATTTTATGTATTTTCTTTTGAATTTTATAGAGGATAATAAAATAATATATAATTTTATAGAGGATATAAAATTCTATTCTATAAAACTTTATTTTATAGAGTTTGTACCTCCCTTTTGCTTATTTTTCTTCCTGAGTAATGTACCATGATTTAAATATATTACAAGTTATTTGACCATCCTATGTTGGTGGGCAATAAGAAAGGTCAGTTACAAATAATAAATTTGTGATCACTCTTATGCTTGTATCCTCATGCACTTAGAATGCTGATCTAAAAGTCAAATTGATAATTCGTAAGGAATTAACCTCTTCCAAGATTAGTAGATGTTGCATAATGTTTCTGAAATGCTTGCACCAACTAAAACCACAAACAAAATATATGAATCTTTCTTAAGTGATCTTGTTTCTAATACTTAATACTGTGCTTTGTACTTTTAGCCATGTGATGCTTATATAGTAGTAGTTCTTTGTATTCTTAATTGGTATTTTCCTGGTAACCAATGAAATTAAGTCAAATTTTACGTGTTTATGGTCTATTTGAATATTTGTTTATAGAAATTAAAGATTCCTCTCATTTTTTACTGGATTATTTATATTTGAATTAATATATCAGAGTGCTTTATATTTTGAATGTAATCTTTTTCTTCTATACAACTAAAAAATGGGTGTAAAAATACAGTTAGGATAGTTAGATAAAATGAATGATATTTGATAGCACAACAAAGTGACTGTAATCAATGATAATTTAGGGTAGACTTTTAAATAACTAAAACAGTGGAATTGGAATGTTCCCAACACAAGGAAATGATAGGAGACTGAGGTGATGAGTACTCCAATTATCCTGTTTTGATTAATTAAAATTGTATGCTTGTATTAAAATATCACATGTATTAATGACTCTAGCCTTGTAGTATAGTTTGAAGTCTGGTAAATTGACACCTCCTATTTTGTTTTAATTGCCTAGGATTGATTTTGCTATATGGGGTCTTCTCTGGTTCCATACGAAGTGTAAAATTATTTTTTCTATATCTGTGAAAAATGATGATGGTATTTTGATAGGGATTGCGTTGACTCTGTAGGTCACTTTGGGTAGTATAGACATTTTAACAATGTTGATTCTGCCGACCCATGAGCATGGTATATTCTTCCATCTGTTTACGTCCTCTGCTATTTCCTTCTTCAGTGTTTCATAGTTCTACCTGTAGAGGCCTTTTATCTCCTTAGTTAAATATATTCCAAGTTACTTTATTTTCTTTGTTGCTATTTTGAAGGGAATTGAGTGTTTGAGTTGGTTCTCACTTTTACTGCTGTTAGTGTACATGAATGCCTCTGATTTCTGTGTATTGATTTTGTATCCTGAGACTTTACCAAATTCATTTATCAGATCAAGGAGTCTTTTGGTTAAACCCTTGGAATTTTCTAGGTATAATATCATGTCATCAGTGAAGAGTGAGAGTTTGATCTCTTCTGCTCCCATTTGGATGCCCTTAATTCCACGGTCTTGTCTGATTGCTGTAGCGAGGACTTCCAGCACTATGTTGAACAGAAGTGGAGATAGTGGACAACCTTGTCTTGTTCCAGTTCTAAGTGGGAATGCTTTCAA